TCAGGTGACTTATCTGCCCCCTTACCCAAGTCTTTTTAGTAACAGGAAGACCATTAATCTTTAGATTAATATAGATTAATTGTAACAAAGTTTCTACTATAATATTATATTAATAAAAAAAAAAAGATTAGTGACAAAGTGCTAGTTGCCAAATCTTTTCTTAAAAATGTTTTCTCTGCTAAACTAGAAGAACGTTTTATGGGCCCCTACATAATCTGTAATATATTAGATTATGGAGTTTATAAATTAAAAATATTCAATAGCAAAAAAGTAAAAAATCTTGTTCATAGAGATTGTTTAAAACTTTATTATAATAGAGAAATTAAGAATCTTCCTGTACTTCAAGTTATTATCATACAAAACAATACACAAGAGTAGATCATATAACTTAAATATTTATAAATATACCCTTTGTTCTAGCATTTCTTCTAAAAATCCTAATTTTTAAAAATCTTTCTTAAAATTTATTCCTTTTTATTTTTTTTAAAATTTTTATTCTTTTTTTATACTAGTTATTATTATTATTACTATAATCTTTTTACTTTTCTTTATTTAATGGAAATACCAATATTTAATGCCACATTTCTTTATCAATTTTTAGTTGAAGCCTTACAGGGTTTACAACGATTTTTAAGTGAATGGAAGCAAGAATTGTATTATAGTAAAAGTTTAAAGATTAACCAAGAAACAATTGCTCTAGTAGATAATAATGAAACACAAATTGAAGCTTCAATTGATAATTTTTTTCAAGAGATGTTAACTAATCTAGCTGCATACGAATCGCTATTTAACAACTTTGTTATCGAGGAAGCCTGGAATATATTAATGATTAACGAATCCAGAACTGGAGTAACAGTAGAACAATCTTTGAGGCTAGAACATAATGAAAATAAAATAGAAGAAGTAAATCTACCTATTGACAAGGCTATAACTTTACCTATAGAAGATAATTTAGCATTGGCTAGAATTAAAAGAGATTTGAGTGTTAACCCATGTGAGGGAACATTTATCTTACTATTTATATTTGATAAAAATAATATTCAAGTTTTCAAAGATGTTGTTAAGAGAATTGACAAGTTTGGCAACAAAAAAAAGGATAGAATCCCTTATTTAGAAGCTGCATATTATCTAGAAAAATTACTAGATAAAAACAAACAAAATTTCCAAATACTAAAGAAATTTAATTTAATACTTAAAGAAAAATTTAAACAAATCAGAGTCTCAAGAATAAAAACCCAAACCAATTAAGTTTATAGTCTATACCAAAAACACAGCTTGAAAAACTTATATGATTCAGTAGATACTTATGCTACTAATATAAAAAAATTATCACCTAACTAATTTGCAAAGTTAATATAATAATTTTATTAAAAAGTAAAGGAAAACTACAAAAATTACTGTTACTCTAAAATGAAACATAAACTCTCTCCACCTCTTTTTTTCCTTCTTCTTGGTCTTTATCTTTCTTCTCTCATCTTCTTTCTTCTTCTTCTGTTCTTTTTCTTCTTCTAGCACTTCTTTC